TTCACTGGGCAAGTATTGGTTGGGCTTCTTCAGACAGAGACCGATCTCTCCTTTGCCACAGTCCCCACCACACCCTATCACCTCTGCCTATCCCGGGCATCAGCTGGCATTTGCTCACGTCCTCCTTACAATAGAGAAGTATTTCTCTAGACCCATATTTCATTTTCACTTTCAAACAGTGAAGTTAGAGCAGGGAGGGACAGCTTTATCTTTTTAGGTCTACCCAATTTTGTGATCTGCCGAGCTCCTGGAGGTTGAACCTTGCTGCTGGTGTCTCTGTCTGTGGCAACACCACGTCTGCGGCTCTGCTCCTTCCTCTCTGCTTGCTACCCTCCTGCTGCAGGAGAATGTGAGCTGCTGAAGGTGTTGAATTCATCTGCGAATCCCCAGTACTCAGTACAGGTCTCGCCCAAAGTTCTGACTGAGAAATGCTTTGAAGAAGTCATTTACGTTCAAGCACTCACGGGTGGCAAGAGCTAGGGTGGTCCTGGATTCTTCGTGTGGGAGCAAAACAATCACAAGGGCCCTTAAAAGTGGAAGGGGCGGGAGAGTCAGAACCACGGTGATGCAGCGTGAGAAAGACGCAAGCGGCCAATGCAGGCTTTAAAGAGGGAGGAAGGAGCCATGGAGCCAAGCAGTGCAGGTAGCTTAAGATCCTGGAAGAGGCAAGGAAATCGATTCTCTCCCAGAGCCCCCAGGAGGAACACAGCCCTGAGACACCTTGATTTTACTCCAGTGGGACCCATTTCAGACGTCTGTGCTGCAGAACTATAAGGTAATAAGTTTGCATTGTCTTAAGCCACCCAATTTGTGGTAATTTGCTGCAGTAGCCCTGGGAAACGAATACAATATCTAAAGCATCCTCTCAATGTCAGAACTTTATGAACGTTGGATGTTGATGATACTGCAGAACCAGGTTCAAGCAACACAACAAAATACATACAATATGCAACTCTCAAAACCAACATTTATTTACATATATATTAAAACGGGCATGTGCAGCAAACCACAAATAAAGTTCCATGAAATTTAAAGTTTGTATTTTATTTTCGTTTTCTGTTTTAGTGAGGTCTAAAACACACAGAGCAATGGGCATGAAGTGTCCAGTTCAGTGAAGGGAGAGCCTCAGTGAATTTGCACAAATGTCTTCACCCATGGGACCACTACTCGGATGAAGATACAGAACATCCCTGGCACCCCGAGAAAGTTCCCCTGCCCCTCCCCCTGCCCCCAGCCCAACACAACCAATAATTGACACCAACATTGATTTCTTTGCCTGTACCACCCTTTTTTTTTAAATTAATAAGATCACACATGTGTTCTCCTTTGTATCTGGCTTTTCTCACTCAGTTTAATACATATATTTTTAGATTCATCCATATTATTGCATGTATCCTTTTTGTTTGTACCCTTTATTTCTGAGTAATACTCCACCATATGAATAAACTGTGGCTTACTTATCCACTCTCTTATTGATAGACACCTGGGGTGTCTGTGAATATGAACAGCTGTATTTTACAAATACAGCTGATAGCAACGTTTGAGTACAAGTGTCTGTGTGGACATGAGTTTTCCTTTCTCTTGAGTGAGTATCTAGGAGGGAAATTGCGCGTTCAGCTTTAGTAGATGTTTGTCAGATAGTTTTCCAAGTGGCTGAGCCAACATACACTCCCACCAGGACCCCTGAGTCACCGCACTTTTAAAGTCTCTTCTCCGTGAATTTTCAAAGGGAAACTTTGTTATAAATGGAAAGCCACTACCCCGCCCCCCCCTTTTTTTTAACAGTATTGAGGGTAACCATGAAAATAAGCACAGGAAAACAAACCAATATCCTTACCTTCTGTGCGGATACTTTGAGCAGGAAGCCGCTTGCTCTCTCTTTGAGAGGGGACAGAAACGGGGAGGGTGTGAAGATGTCTTGGCATCAAACGCAGACTTTTTCCTTTGTCAGTGGAACCACCTCACATCCATGAGGATGGCTACTATCGAAAAACCCAGGGGCGCCTGGGTGGCTCCGTAGGTGAAGCGTCTGCCTTCAGCTCAGATCATGGCCCCGGGGTCCCGGGATCGAGCCCTGTGTTAGGCTCCCTGCTCAGCGGGGACCCTGCTTCTCCCTCTGCCACTCCCCCTGCTTGTGCTTTCTTGCTCTGCTTTCTCTCTCTCAAATAAATAAATAAGATCTTAAAAAAAAAAAAAACCACGCAGAAAACAACAAGTGTTGTTGAGGACGTGGAGAAAAGGGAACCCTTGTGCACCGTTAGGAACGTGAATTGGTGTGGCTGCTCTGGAAAACAGTACGGAGGTTCCCGGAAAAAGCTAAAAACAGAACTGCCCTACGACCCGGCAATTCCACTGCAGGGCATATACCCCAAAGAAGTGGAAGTAAGGTCTCAAAGAGATATTTGCACACCCACTTTCACAGCAGCATTATTCACGGTGGCTACAGCATTGGATGGACAAGCAAATATGTGTTATTCGGCCTTAAGAAGGAGGGAGCCTCTGACAGGAGCTCCACCGTGGATGAACCCTGACATTATGCTGCGTGACATAGCGAGGCACCAAAGGACAAATACTGTGTGATCCCACTTACGTAGGTAGCTAGCGTAGTCAGACTCCTAGAGACAGAAAGTGGGATGGTGGTGCCCGGGGCTGGGGGCTGGGGGTGGCGTTCAATGGGGACAGAGTCGCAGGTGTGCAGGAGTTAGGAGGTTGGATGGCGGTCTTGGCTGCAGGGCGCTGTGAAAGCTTTCGTTCAATATCACTGAGCTGTACACTGGAAAATGGCTAAGATGGTGAATTTTGTGTTAGGTGTATTTTAACTCAGATTTTTAAAAGTATTTAATTAATTAACTTATTTTGAGAAAGAGCGTGTGAGTGGGGGGAGGAGCAGAGGGCGAGGGACAAGCAGACTCCCCGCTGGGTGCGGAGCCTGCCCCGGGCTGGATCCCAAGACCCTGATCACGACCTGAGCCGAAGTGAAGAGTCAGGCGCTTAACCCACTGCGCCACCCAGGCGCCCCCAACTCAATTTTTAGAAAGAAAGAAAAGAGGGTACCGAAGAGCGGGGGAGCCTTGCCTCCTTGGGGTTCATTGTTGTTTAGTCCCGGGTGTGTCTAGGATCACCTCCTGGGCTGTCCAGGAGGAGGGGAAGCGTAGGGATGGTGGTGGTGGAGGCCTTGAGGCCATGTCAGGAGACTGCCCTGCACCCCCGTGTGGAGCATTGAAAGCATCCTGACCAGAGGGGCTCTTGAGGAGCATGGACTGGGGAGTGCGGTGAGGGAAGGGGATCGGCAGAGTCAATGGCGGAGTGGGCCAGAGGGTGAAGACAGAGGGTGGAGAACAGAGCGGGGCAGCATTTTCTAAGACAAGAGCAGGTGTGCTTAGCGGTCTGCTGGATGTGGGGGTGATGAGACAAGTGGACAGTGATGTCTGTGGACACTGTTGGGGACGGTGGTGGAGTCCGTGTCAAGAGCAGGGGACCCAGGAGGCAGGCTGTGCTGGGGGCTGGGGACCGAGGGCACAGGTGTCTGGGGAAATGCATTCAGATTTGGGTTTCGAGGGTTTGGAGCCGCCCCGTCCGCAAGGAAGACCTCCGTGATGATGAGTAATGTAGAAGCAACGAGCACATTCTGCATATCCGCAGTGTATGTGTTAGTTTCTTTTTTTTTTTTTTAAGATTTTATTTATTTATTTGAGAGAGAGAACATGAGAAGGGGGAGGGTCGGAGGGCGAAGCCGACTCCCCGCTGAGCAGGGAGCCCGATGCAGGACTCGATCCCAGGACTCCAGGATCATGACCTGAGCAGAAGGCAGACGCTTAGCCAACTGAGCCACCCAGCCGCCCTATGTGTTAGTTTGTGATATGAAAGCATTTCAGAGCTACTCACAGGCACGGGGATACCCCTGAGAGCCACATCTCCCCATTTTCCAGGTTCGGAAATCATCCTTTGTTTGCTCTGACCCTCTTTTGTCTCTGTCTTTTTCCTTCACTGTGGAAGCACTTTATTTTATTTTATTTTATTTTACTTATTTTTAAAGTAGGTTCCACGCCCAATGTGGGGCTTGAACTCACACCCTCGGGACCAAGAGTCAGGTGCTCTACCCACTGAGCCCACCAGGCGCCACCGCAGAAATATTTTAGAGCAAATCTCAGCCATCATGTCGGGTGACCTTTACACACTACAGAAACCTCTAAAAAAATAAGATGGATATTTTCTTACCTGTCCATACGACCATTTCCACACCCAGCAGAAGTGATGTGAGTGCCCTGACATCATCGAATACCCAGTCCATAATCAATTCCCTTGATTGTCTTTAAAAAAAATTTTTTTTTCACACCAGGTTTCTTTGGCTCTGACTCCAAACATGTCCCCACATGCTTTTGATTGTTCAGTCGCTAATGTCTCTTTGACTCTAGACTATATGCCCTGTGGTTTCTAAATTTGATATGACAATTTTTATTTGTATAAAACTAATTAAAGAATAAGATGCTTTAAAAAGCTTTTATTTTCCCTATACCAAGAGAATTTACTCCTTTAAAAAACTTACTATTCATGAGGGCTGCCGGTAGGTTAATATAATGCAAGGTTGATAATGTGTACAGATCCGGGGGCGACTCTGTCTTCCTAAAACCTTCTGGCTGTGTGCTTTGGGCTGTGGAATGAATCTGTGTGCGAATGTGCCGCTCTCTGGCCCCCACCTCGAAACTCCTCTTCCGTTTCTTGCTTTATTTGTCTCTCGGCCACTTATCACTTGGCACGCCGTCTCTCCTTGCCCAGGGCCCGCTAGAATGCAAGCCCCACGGGAGCAGGGAGCCTGCTTCCATCACTGCTGTGTCTCTGGCACCTACAAATGGTGCCTGGCACACAGATGGCACTCTAAGTATTTGTGGAGTGACGAAATGTTTGTCAGCCCTCCAGGTTCTGAATCCTGTGCCCAGGGAACCCAACACGAGCAGGAGGAGAACGAGAGGCTTGCCTTGGAAACTCTCCGTCCCGGGAAGATGCAGAGCCTCAGGCCGGAGCAGATTCGGGGGCTACTGGAGCCCGACAGGGCCAAGACGCTGCTTCCCCGGGAGAGCAGGGCCTGGGAGAAGCGTGCCACCCTCGCCAAAGACTGGGTGGCTGTGGAGGTTGGGGCCACCAGCTGTGACGGTGACAAGAGAGGTGAGGGGCGGGCAGCCCGTGGGGGCGGTGGGGGGAAGGTTGTGGCAGAGCCTCTGCGAAGACACAACACTCATCCCTCCACTCATTCAGTAGATAGATATTTATGGAGCCCTGTGTCCACTGGCCTTTGCTGGGTAGCAGGTGGCCCCGAAACTTAGCGGCTTATAGCAACAGTCATTTCTCTGCTCAGGATTCTGCAGGTCAGCATATGACACGGCCTCAGGGGACAGCCTGCATTTGCCCGCAAAGCCACGGTGAGCTGGCCAGGGCAGCTGGTTGACCTCACTCGCGGGTCTGGCCGGTTTGAGGGTGCTGACTTTGGGCTACTTGTCTCCTGCAGGCGAGCCCAGGCGTATTCTCCTGGGGGTGGTTGCAGGGAAAGGGAGGGAAAACTTCAATTTGCAAGCATTTTTTAAGCTGTACCGGCCACCCAGTTGCTCACAGGCCGTGGGTCAAAATCAGCTGCGCGGTCAAGTTCACCATCACTGAGGGAGGGGGCTGCCCAGGGGTGTGGACACAGGGATCGGTGAACAAGTGGAAGGCCATTTGGAACAAAAATCTACCACAAGCACCTACTATGTGCCAGGTGCTCGGGATCTAGCAGCAAACAAGATGGCCCCAGTAGAGCTGATTTTAGTGGAGAAGCAGACAATAAACAAGCAACGAAATAAAAAGAAAAGTAATGTCTGATGAGGGCTCCAAAGACAGTAAAATGGGATGATTGACTGAGAGGGACCCAAGCGTGGTCAGGGAGGGCGAGAGAGGCCGGAGAAGGAGTCGTCTGTTCCAAGAGCCGGGGGGTCCCCTCGTGGGCCACTGGAGCCACACAGGCAGTGACCCCGCAGTGGCGACAAGCTCGCTGAGTTTGAGGAGGCTGTGCTGACTGAACAGAGCAGAGATACGGGGGAAGAGGGTAGAGATCAGCCGGGGCCAGCAAGTGACGGGGCGTCTTGGAGACCGCCGCACAGTGTATGTTATTCGGATATTGGGAAGGCACCAGAAGGTTTTGCAGAGGAGGAAGACAGGATCTCATTTGTGTTTCCAAAAGATTCTGCTAACTCAGTGGTTCTCGACTGGGGGCCATGTTGCACCCCACCTCCCCTCCCCAGGGGACGCTTGGCAAAGTCTGGAGTTTGGGTCATCTGAATGGGGAAGATGCTACTGCTACAAAGTGGGCCGAGGCAATGCTGCTAGGCAGAGGACACGGCCCGCCCTGTGAGGCCCGGGACCCACCCCCACCACAAGGAGTTACGCAGCTCGCAAGGCCAGTGGCGCCCACGTTGAGAAAGCCTGCATCCAGCTGTGTGTGAGGATGAGCTGTAGGATTAGGAGGTCAGAGTGGAAGCTGGGAAGCCTGATGGGAGTTCCCAGCAGCCATCTGGGAGAGAGATGCCCGAGCCACACGGGGCAGTGGTGGACGTAAGAGGTATTGGGGACACGTCTGGGAGGGAGAGTCAGAGTTCCCGCAGATGGATGCGCGGAGGGGAGGACTCTTAGAGAGACCCCGGATAACTCCTGGGGCTGGGGCTCAGACAGCTGGACCGAGGGTGGGACCCTGAAAGTCAGCCCGACAGCGGAATGGGGGCTGGAGCTTCTACTTGGGGCGGGGTCTTTCCTTCTCCCACAGAGGTTGAGCAGGCCTGGGACGGAGGTGTGGACAATATGGGTGTCAGTTCTGGCAGTGAGGAGGAGGTTGGGGGGCTCCCGGCGGAGCCTGGGTGCAGGAGGAGTGGAAAATGCCGATCTTTGGCCTGACCCCTAGTTCTGTCCAGCCAGGGGGTGGGAAGGTTGCTGAAGTTTGGATGTGGGGAGATGTCTCCACTGGCGGCTAGAAGCTGGGCAAGCCTGCTTCATCCTGGCTTAATTCCACACTTTTTCCTCTGCTCCCTCACTCAGTTTTTGCAGGAGGCACGTAGAGAAGGGACCGTTTTACCCATTCGACAGGTGAAGGAACAGAGGCTCAGGTGGCGGGTCACCTCAGGTGACGCACTTTAAGTCTTCCGGGTAGCGACAGAAACAAGGTCAGAATTCAGGTCTCGTATTCTCTCTGCACCACCTGCACCACGCGGGCCAGAATGTGTGTGCGCGCGCGAGTGTGGCAGGGAAGAGGACAGGGTAGGAAGCCAGGCGGGACGAGCAGGCAGCGCGCTCCCTCCCACCCCCGCAGCTGCCCTGGTCACTGACTCGTGGTCCTGTCTCCTGTGCTCAGGTCTGTCTTCTCAAGAGCCTGGGCTGGCCCAGGAGTGGAACGCGGTGGAGGGAGATGACGAGTCAGAGGACTCTCAGGTAAGGTGGGGGTTCCCTCCTCTTTCCCAGATACCCCGCCCCGCAGATCTCAGTGGGTTGTCCATTCCTTTCCTCAGCTTGGAACTTCCCCAACCCAGCAGTGTCCCGTGGGAAACAGGACATAGTCCTGTGGTAGTCAGACAGGGAGTGGAGGGTCTCCATGGGATGTGGAGCCCCGTCCACACAAACCCGCCAACCCTTCACTCATGAACTCAGATTAGCCATTCATTCGCCTGCACGTCACGCGTACATCCAGTTACCTGTGTACTTACCCACCCACCCACCCACCCATAGGCAGTCACTCCACTCCGTTGCCGTACATCCTTGGAGACGTTTTTCTCCTTGGAAGCGGAGACTAGTTGGGATTTTTGTACAAGGGATTCATTGAGGGTGCCGTGCTCTCAGGAGGAGCCAGTAGGTGGTGCGGGAAGCTGGAAAGAGGGAGAGGGAGTGTCCTCCTCTGAGCCAGCGGGGAGCCTGTTACGTCCCTTCACTGGTGTGGATGACCTCCCCTGTGATTCTCTAGGGGAATTTCTCGGAAGGGGGCAATCATAAATATAAGCGCTAAACCATAGTTAGCAGCCAAGAGGCACAGCAGTTGGAAGAGCGACAAAGGGGAACCAGGTGAGGCAGGGTTGGGTCGATTATTAGGGGTACGTGGGGTGTGTGTGTGTGTGTGTGTGTGTGTGTGTGTGTGTGTGTGTAAAACTTTTGTATTGCAGATGACCTGTATTTATTACGCTTTCTTAACTTTATACTCTGCTTTAAAAAATTGCCATTAATATGTCTAATGAAGTGCACAGAACAGTGAGTGTGTATATGTGTAACCAACACCCTGATGAGATATTGAGCACTGCCATTATCCTAGAAAATTCCTTCATCTTCCTTTCTAGTCTCTCTCACTCCCCCACCCGAGGCAACCACATTTCTGATTTCGGCTCATATAGATTAGTTTTGCCTATTGTTGAGCTTCGTATAAATAGAGTCCTACAATAACTCACATATATTTCTTAAAACCCAAAAAAAGAGATTATAGCAAAATTATTATCCTGCCATTTGGTGTCCTCATAATAAATATTCTGGATAGCTTTCCATATATATATATATATATTTTAATTTACTTTTTACAGCTGCCAAATATTTTGTGGTATGCTGTATCATACCCATTACCTAACTGATGAATTGTCAGATTTGGGTGTTGTGATTGCCACAGAAAAATAAATATTTGTCAAGTTGTCCTATTTTTCTATAGCATGAATTATGAGGAACTTCATAAAAATCTGTATGTTCTGGTCCTAGCCAAGATCTACTGCATTGGAAAATCCAAGGGAGGAGCCCCGATATTCGAAAAATATCCTCCAAGTTTTTCTGAGGCTTTGCCAGGTCCCAGAGCTGCTTATGTTGAACATTTCATAGTACATGCTCCACCCATTTCTCTTCTTTTTCAGGATTTTTTTTCATGTTGCCACTGCCTGGCTTTCCAGATAACTCCCTATGTCATATCCATTCCCCAAACTTTCCTGATATTTTAAGACCTGTTGCACTATACTCATCACTATTTTGGAGAAGAACTGTCACCATTAACCATTTTGTCTTCCCATCCTTCGTCATGGTATGTCTTTCCGTTCCTGAGTTCATTTGACAAAGATTTACAGACCTCATACTCTGTGCCAGGCAAGAAACAATGCTGGCCCCTCTGTTTCTAATATTTGTACTTTTTTCCCCCTCTGTTCCAGGGCTTTGTGGAGTGGTCGAAAGCTCCACAACAAACGACCATAGTCTTGGTAGTGTGTGTCCTGTTTTTGTTCCTGGTTTTAACAGGGATGCCTATGATGTTCCACATTTAACTACAATGATGACGACTGTTCTGAAATAGACGCACGGTTTCTTGTTAAGGAAATGTCTTGGTTAAAAATCAGGAATAGGTTATTAGCAAATGCCTTTTAAACATCTATCAAGAAAAAAAAATTTTTTTTTGTATTTAACCTTCTGGGGTGAGGTTTTGCATTACTGTATTTCATTGAACTTAAGACATCGTTGATTGTAAAACACATATTATTTTATATACGACTGAGAAAGGAAAATACACTGCTTCATCGTAAGATGCCACCAACCGGAAGATGCATCCCTGCTTCAGAGAGGATGAAAAAATGTGCAACTTGGGATTCGTGAAATTTGGTAGACTTTTTTTTTTTTTAAAGATTTTATTTATTTGACAGAGAGAAAGACAGCCAGAGAGTGCACACAAGCAGGGGGAGCGGGAGAGGGAGAAGCAGGCTTCCCGCGGAGCAGGGAGCCCAACGGACGCGGGGCTCCATCCCAGGACCCTGGGATCATGACCTGAGCCGAAGGCAGATGCCTAACGACTGAGCCCCCCGGGCGCCCCTGGTAGACTTCTTAATATCACATCACCTTTGTAGTCTTAGGATCATATGGTGCACCAGTCTTTCCAGACCCTGATTTGTACTTCATGATACTTTATGTATGACTCTTGCCTCTTTCTTCATATGTAAGATTGGTGCTATCTTTGTCACGTTTTGGTAACATGGCCAGGCTTGCATCACAGAAGGACGTCACTTTTATTGTTGTCTAAACCTTAGAATAGTTTCTGTAGCTTAAGAGGTATCACTTCCTTGACATTTTGAAAGAACTTACCAGTAATCAGGGCCTGGAGCGCTGGGGAGAAAGTTTCAGCTAAATTCTTGGGGGGCTTTCTCAGTTTCTTCCCATGTTATCGGTTTATGAATACTTTTTACTTCATTAATTTTGGTGATTTATAGTGGGGTTTTTTTTATGCCCTAGGAAATTCTTCATTCCATTGACCTTTTCAGATTGTTGGCTGAATTATGAATACTATTCTATAATTAAATGAAAAACTTCTCTTTATTTTGTTCTAACCCCTTTCTTCCTTTCAACTTGTTTATAGTTGACCCACTATTAGATTTATCAAAGGTTTACCTCGTCTACAATTACCTTTCCAAGAACTAGCACTGGGATTTATTTATATCCATATTTCTCTAGTTTGTAATTTGTTTTCCATGTATACATATGGGGTTTATTTTTTATTATTATTTCTATCTCTTGTCTGTTTTTACATTGAATAATTAATTCATTTATAATCTCTTCTTACAAAATTATTTGCTAAAGTAGTGTACTTAATAATAAATGCACTTCTGATTATAGCCTTGGCCACATCTTAAAGTTTGATAATTTGTATTCTTGTTTATGTTGTTGTCTAAATATTATATTGTAGTGTTTCTACAATATAAAGAGTACTTTAAACTCAGTGATCAGGTTTATTTAAAAATAGTTTTGTTTTAATGATTTACTGCACTGTGAACAAAAAAATGTGGCCTCTAATATATCTGCTTTCAACACCTTTTTAAAAGCTTTTATTGTGGCCTACAACACATCCAATGTTTGTACGTGTTTTATGGACATTTAAGGTGAATATGTATTTTCAGTCTTTAGGATTCAAAACTCTACATGTCTGTTAATTAACTCAGTCTTATCAGTTATATTGCTTAGATTCATGTGTTATTTAATTCTGGCTCGCCTTATCTGTCAAAACCCAATAAGGTTCTGTGAAAATCTGTTCGTAAGACCGTGTTTGTCAGTATATTTTTGTAACCTTTGCTTTATGTATTCAGCCACTGTGTCATCTGCTGCACGTAAGTTACAGCACTGTTTTGTCTTTGCCAATTAAAGAATACATGCAAGACGCCAAGCACAATACCAGCACACAGTAGCCACGCAATAAATGTTAGTTAAAACCCGATTCTGAATCCTTTGTGAAATAGAAAATGATTGTCTTTAAATCAATTCAATCCTTTGGATTTTATTTTACCTTGTCTGATAGAGTTTGATATTTCCATCCTGCTCTTTTTTAATTCATCTGTGTGTGTGTGTGTGTGTGTACACGTGTGTGTATTTAGACTCTTCGTATCATTTTGTTTTAATAGGACTTCCAGTGGCCTCTCCTGAGTTTGCCAAAAAATCAGGGCTGGGAGAAGTATGGGACTCTGTCTCTCCCCATCCTTCCCGCCAGCCGATTGCATCCAACGAGCAACAACAGTCCGTTAAAAGAAACACAAGCCTCAGCTTTTACATTCATTAGGATTTATTGGTTGCAAATAACAGAAGCTCAATTCAAATGAGCTTAAGCTCGTTGGTGATTAATTATTGATTCATGTTACACCACCAAAGTTCGCGATGAAATTGGCTTAATTTATAGCATCCGCACTGGCCTTCTGCTGTTTGAACAAGCCCATCACGCGCCTGCCTCCGGACCTTTGCACTGCCTCCGGAATGGACCTCTGCCCGGAATGCTCTTCCCCCAGAAGCTGACATGGCTCCCTCACCTCCTGCAGTGCTCTGCTCCAACGTCTCCTCAGAGAGGCCTCCCCCACCGTCCCCAAATGGCACCTCCCTCCGCTGGTCACTGTCTGCATAACCTGTATCACCACCTGCCCACTATGGGTTCATGAGGTTCTGGTCTGTCCTCCCCCTCTGCCGGGTCTCCTGGAGGAACTGAGTCCTGGGAAGGTTGAGCTGGGGGAGGGGAGAGTTCAGCCTGCATTTCCCAGGAACTCTCTCCACGCCAGCTGGTGGGACCCCAACCCTTTCCGACCCCCTCCCCCATGCGCTTGAAGCTGCTCTGTCCCCTCCTGGAACGGACCCAGGGTGGTATCTGTATATAGTATCTGGGGAACCCGGGGGGGGCGTCACATAAGTTGGCAAATATGGCAAATCTAAAACCCTGAGGAGGAGAGTGGTGTGAGGCTGACGGGCCGGCCGCGCTGCGGTGCTCTTTGCCGATTCCTTTTCCTCCTCACCTCATCGGGCATTTCGAAAGCTCTGAAACAGGTGTCTTCCGCAGCGCCCCTCCGGGGCTCAGCTCCTCCACTGCTGTGGACTCCGGGCACCGCTCGCGTGGGCCACTTTCTGCAGCAGGAGGGGCCCCAGACGGCCCTGTGCTCCGGGGCTGCGACCCTCGTCGCGCACACGCTCACCCCCCGGGTCTGCTGGGGGGCACAGCCGGCCAACACGCGAGATGAACACCGAGCAGCGTGGGCACCAGCGAGGCGCAAATCGACGTGGAGACCCCGCTCCCGCGGACGCGCCTGCGCACTCCGAGGGGAGCCCCCAGCGCGGGTGCACCGCCCCCGGCCCGCTCTCCTTGAGGTCTTGGCAGAAGGGCTCCAGGGCCTGACGCCGGCCCCGCCCACGGCCCCGCCCATTCTCCGCTTAGCCCAGCGACTTGCAGCCGTTCCGCCGAAGAGGGTCAGTTTCCCCTGCCCTCTGCGGTGACGGAACTCAGGCCCATGTCTATTAACAAGGGTCCCATTCCACTCATTCATCCATTCACCCAGCACTCTCTGAGCACCTACTGTGCGCAGAGCACCTGAGCTGGGCGAAGGTCAGAAGGAGGAGTCCGACTGTGTGGTCCATGACTCTGAATGGCTCTAGGGTTGGAGCTGGGGTTGTTCAACTATTCATTCACTCAGTATTTCTTGAGGACCTACTGTGTGCTGACACCTGAGTTGGGAGATGTCTGAGGCATAGGGATGAACGGGCCGTGTCCTCCCTGAACCTGAATGACTCCAGGGCTGATGCTGGTATGTACAATTATTCAATCACCTAGAGCTTCTCAAGGACCTACTGTGTGATGAGGCTTGGGCTAGAGAGTTTGGATCACAGGAAGGAACCAGGATGCATGCTCTCTGATCCAGGGCTGATGCGAAGGATATTCACTTATTCATTAATTTCCCTGCCCTATTAATTTATATCTCCTAAGGACTTACTGTGTGCTGATGCTTGGGCTGGGTGATGTCTGGGGTACAGGAAGGAACCAACTGTGTGGTCTCTGACCCTGAATGACTCCAGGGCTGATGCTGGGATGTACAACTAGTCACCCAGTACTTCATGAGGACCTACTCTGTGCTGAGGCCTGAGTGATGTCTGGAGCACAGAGAAGACTCAGACACGAGTCTTGACTCTGTAAGGCAGGTCAGGGATTTTTCACTCATTTGTCTATTCATGTGAGATTTCCTGAGGACCTACTAGGTGCCAAGGCCTGTGCAGATGATAGGTCATGAAGGGGCGCCTGGGTGGCTCAGTTGGTTAAGCGACTGCCTTCGGCTCAGGTCATGATCCTGGAGTCCCGGGATCGAGTCCCGCATCGGGTTCCCTGCTCGGCGGGGAGTCTGCTTCTCCCCCTGACCTCCTTGGCCCCTCACCAGCTTCCTTGGTAGGAGAGCCAAGGAAGCTGGTGGACAGGAAGACAGAGGACTTTGTTTGTGTCTGTGTCACTGTCTTAACTTCCCTCCTCCTTATACACATTAAAGATAATTTATGTTTATTTTCAAGGCTTGACATTATTTTCTGACAAATCACATCCCTTTTTCAAACTTTTTCAGGGGCCAAGGAAATCTGAATATGGAATAGACACTGGATGATATCAAGAAATTAATATTTTACTGGGTGTGATAATATTGTGGTTGTATAGAAGATACTTTTTTTTAAAGAGATGCAAACTAAGGTATTTAGCAGTAAAGTGATATCATATCTGCAATTTACCTTAAGATAGACCAGGAAAAAAACATAGGCATATTTTCATGACCTATTTTTTTTTAAGATTTTATTTATTTGAGAGAGAGAATGAGAGAGAGAGAGCGCACACACAACACGGGGGAGGGTCAGAGGGAGAAGCAGACTCCCTGCCGAGCAGGGAGCCCGATGCGGAACTCGATCCCGGGACTCCAGGATCATGACCTGAGCCGAAGGCAGTCGCTTAACCAACTGAGCCACCCAGGCGCCCCTTCATGACCTATTTTAAAAGCAAATA